CCCTCACTTGGATAAAACTTATAGGTGTCATTTTTGGCAGTGGATGACATCTTCCCCCAGATTTGGGTGATGTTTGGCTATACGTTGATAAATAGTGCCAAACATGATACGGGTCTTCAATTTTTCAGCGTTGCCTTTCAGATTGAGTTTCCGTTTTGCAATGGACCTTAAGGATATCCTCCGGTGCTGTACACAGACTTCCTGTCCATGTTCCGTCTTCGTGGAAACCGTTGGTGGATCGTCGCCAAAAGCAGCGACGGCGAGCAGTTCAAAGCCTGACAGCCAAGACTTCTTGCGCGACAAGCGTGCCAGAAGTCTGAATGGTCAAAAAAGTGTTCCCAGAGGGCAAATCTATATCTATATATATATAATCATGGATGTGATATTCATTTGGAATTCAGCCAACTCATAGATTGTGATGATCTAAGTAGAATCTTATACAAAGTGTATAGTATATTTATATATATATATATGATAATATATGTTTATTCTATTTACAAATGTATACACAGATGACTTACATCTTGATGTGTCGTGAACAATCGTTTGGTTTGTGTTGTTTATTGTCCGTCCCCGAGTGACATTCGCATATTCTTCACGGGGTACACACCACCATCCCGGTATGTTGTGTTTTCTCGCTTTTGGCTGGAGATTACCCACATGTACAACATAACCAAAGATATCATATTCGTACAACATATATATATATATATATACACGTATATACATTACATATTTATATATATATATATTATGTACCATCAATCCATGTACTGTTAATTATATCTGATTGCATATCCACTGTTTGTTAAATCCCATGAAATCCCCATTCAAATCCCCACTGAAACGCCCCTCATGCAGGATCTCCCAAGTTGAATCTAGCGGCAGCCTTTCAAAGCTCCAAAGGCTCCTGGAGTTGCTGTGCTGGACCTAAAAGAATGGGCATTGACCCACCAAGCCGCCGGTTGTGGCCATTTAACCAGCAGCAATGGAGCTTTAACCAGCAAGAAATGGTGATTTACCCATCAAAAATGCTGATTTAACAATCCAAAAATGGGATTCATTGTGGACTAAGCCATCAAACATTGGAATGTTCCCATCGAACAGAGAGGTGAACCATCAAGCAACATTGAAAGATGCTTAGGAGGTGGGCCTCTGATAGCTGAGTTATAACTCCAGGGTTTATGGTTGACATATTTATAGTTACTGCGGGTTTACAAACGATCTGTGCTATCTAGTTGACCCCGCCTTTGTCGAATTCTTAGCTTCCCACTTGGGGGGTGCAGTTGAGGTTATTATGGGATAACCATGGTTGTAAATTGTATACACCAATAAGTTGGGATATAACCCTTGAAACTATGGTGAAATAAATCCACTTACCCTCTGGTAAACAGAGCCAGAGCTATTGAAAAACACTCTTTTTGGTAGGTAATACAACAATGAGCATGTTTCGTAGCAGACTGTTAGATTACCAGAGGGCAATTCACTGCGTCGCACTTCCCTGCGCAGGTCATGCCGTAGGTTGTGACTGCTGCGATCCCTTATTTCCGCCCGCGGAGATGGCCTATGGCGAGGATCCGGACGAGAACTGACCAGAAAAATGGAGATTTCTTGGGATTTATTGGTATTATTGTATGTTGATGTGAATTCAGTTAGGGTTTTACATGGATTCAAACATGACTGAATTAGAATTTATCCAGATTTAATGGATTTAATGCGCATTGAATAGGCATCTATGGACATGATGAAGAAACGCATGTGGCAAACCCAAGAGCAAACCATCTCAAAAAAGTGTTCTGAAATTGGACATAACCTTATCAATGGGATGATGTAGAATAACACAAAGTAACACCCAGAGCCAACTGGTTGATTACTGGGCAGATGGTTTATAATTCGATTTGCCACTTGCTGGAGCTCAACATGTAGGCCATGCAGATAGCCGCTAGCCCCTGCGAGGAAACTGTGGAAACTCCCACTGAATGGCTTAGCGGAGGCACGGCCTCCCACGGCAAATGGGGAATACCCTAAGTTCGGACCATTTCTAGTGGGAAGATTGTGACAAACTTTGGATGATGAAATGGACATAGCCAAAGTTCCATCAATATCCGGACTAACCCATTTCCGTCATTCTTGCTTCATTTCGCGGCATCATTTTGATCATCAAGAAGGCATTTAACATTGCTACATGGTGTTGATTTTGTCCCCATGAGAAACTGGGTGCAATTGGTACTTCTGTTTAACTCTCATGGGAAAATCAAATTCAACGTCCCCCGGGGTCCCACAGAGTTTGTCGTCGGCTTTGTACCCTGTACCTGTACTTAACCCATATGTTGTACCCGAAATCGACAAAATTCTGTACAAAAATCGTCATCCATAGTTTGCCAATTTGCTTGTGGAAGTCTAATTTTTGGTTTATTTAAAAAATGCGGTGTGACCCTGCTTGTCGTAATTCATGCTGGTAGAGACATGTTCTTCTTCAAACAGCTTCACCGAAGCGAAAACCACCATGCACTGGGCTTCGCACTTGAGATCAAGCCAGACTCGACGTCACGGAGCCAGACCCTCTTTCCATCTACCAACCATTTTGGTGGCTATGCCTCTGTTTGTTGGTTGCATTTATAGCTCGTGGCAATATTCCCCACATATAATCCCACATATAGTTATTCACTGTAGTATGGATATTCCTGGATGACAGTTTTTGACAGCAAGGAGAAATGAGATTGTTCTTGGTTGAATAGCTCCCATCCACGATGTCCAAGCTTCAACCATCGTCCCTGCAGCCCGTTTGCCAAACGGTTCAATCCATTTTGTTTAATGGTTGAGATCCAAATGTTGGATTGTTTATCAAATCCACATTCCTTTGCTGGCTAATATCCCCATTTCTGGTTGGTTACATCCAAAAACAAGAAAAACAACCCAAACATGTAGTTGTTATGCTAGGTTATGTTATGATTGGGTATACCATTTTACGTCCCATTCATTCTTGGTCAGTAAGACCATAATTTCCTGTAGAGTTAAATCCAGTGATTTGTTTTCATTCACTCTCCTCAAACTACTTCTAACATGAATCTTGGTTCATCAGATGATTCTTGGTTCATCCTTTACTTAACATAGCTCTGGAAAATATCCATTTGGTTGGTGATCTGGAACATTTTTGATTTTCCCCAATACTTGGGATGATGATCCTGACGAACTCATATTTTTCAGGGTGGCTCAACCACCAATTAGCCATGTTTAATAGGTAACTCATCGAACTCCATGGGCCATCTATACCATAGCCACCGCTCGAGGCGAAGACGTGCCGCCGCCGGTGCGGTTGCCACTGCTCAGCGCCATGAGAAAAACGGCACGAAGCAGCGCCGCTTCGCCGGTCCATGCGCCACTTGCCGTCATGGAAAAGGGAGCCGCACCCGAAAGCATAGCTAAGTTGACCAATTAGTCGCAAAAAAGTAGTGTACTAGTGTTTATAGATAGTTTATGGGAGAATATGTTTATATATAGAATATAGAGTCTATAGTTCATGGTTTTATTACAGTAAACTAACTGATAAGTCGAAGGTATCATGCTACCCAGTCCTTATAGTTAGGGATGATCATCCATTTTTTTTTGGGGGGATTTAGAAATAGCCATGATGCTTGGATTCCAATGGCATGTGATAGGTAAGTTGGTCTATGTAAGCCTAAGCTAATTGGGTTTCGTGGATACATATAACCTCAACCTATATAACTATGGGATACTGAAAGGGCCCCACCTTCAATTTACCAGACAGCAGACGGTACCCCAAGATCCGTTCATCAAATGTTGGGTCAAATTCCATGGGTCACCATGAGGTCTCCAAAGCCGCGAGCGCCCGACCGACTGCCACCCATTTGAGGCAGACCCAGACAGCAGAGGAACTGGCTCCATTCCATTTCTATCTAGTGGTTAAGAGGGAGCGGTTCGGATTTTTGAAAAACCATGAAAAACCAATGATAGATTTGTTCAAGTAATATTTTCTTTTTGCCAAGGGGCGTGGGTTGCAGCCTCAGGTTTGCACCGCCGCCGAATGAGTGATGATTCCCCGTTGTCTCACCATGAAACTCTCACTTTCCGCGACTGGAAAACCCAGCCATGCGGTTGCAAGACATCAGAACATCAGACTCAGTCGATTACGGAACGATGTCAGCAGTCACTATCCAATTTAATGTAATTGTAATCATATATGCACACATGCGATGTCATGCAAAAGCAACATTTGTATACATTTGTACGGAAATGTGCATGTGTTTTACTTGTATGCAATGTACAAATAATATCAAATAAGTCACGTCTATTCTGTCACATTGTAGATACTCTAGTTAATACCTTTCTGATCCATTCTGAATGGGCAGCCTGACTAGAACAAGAACTTGTAGGATTTGGAAATCGGCTGAGATTTGCGAACCAGTTTTTTGCTGCGAAAAAAACAATGAAATCTTCAACTTGGCAATATGGGTGGAATGCCACAGAGGTGGTCAAAAACTGTACGTAGCATCAAAGTGGCCAAGTCAGCCAAGTCCGAAGTCAGCAAGGGCTCCAGACCAAGATTTTGCCCCAGTTTTCGGGAAAACACTATGGCCACTGCTACAGTTTTTTTTGAAACATCGGAAGCTTATGAAGTGACTCGACTTCAGGCTGTGTGAGTCACCGGCTTTGCATCTGGTTAGCGGTTTGGGGTGTCCCAAGGAGAAAGTCAAGGGATGACGTCAGCAGTGGATGATTTGTAGATGTTCCCTTCAAACCGGCTGGCTGATAAATGACGGAGCATCCCCCATTGAAGAATCCATAGGCGTCTAGCTTTGGACAGCCACCAGCCAGATTTATACTACTTATTACTTGGTATGTGAGCAATTGACATCCATCGGTAGGAAATCTACAGAGAGTTTAAGAGAATCCAATGATGCAAAAAATATGTTCCGCGGCCAACAGAGATCAGCAAAGCAGAGATTGTTCGCAAATGTTAGCAACTCATATCTCATCATGGTATACGTCATTCTTACACCACAACTGCTACTGACTGATCCCGGCTCTATTTTGGATTTAGCTGGCATCCTTGAGCTGAGTCCATTTATCCAACAGGTCTCCAAAAACTACTTGTACCAGCAGCGACTGACAGTTGCCTATGATTTCACATTGATTTACGAGGTATTTGTTCGCAGAAAACAACATTTTTCGTTTTTGTTTTTAGCATCGAAATCGGGGTTTGGTTTTCCCGTGCCCACAACACCATGGCGCGGAGCATGGTGAGTGGGCGACCCCATTGGACGGATTTGGACGGGGAGATTTAAGTCGACCTCACTGACTTCACGGTGGTTAGTAGAGGGATCAGCCCCTGCCGGGCTGAGATGATTGTGGTGTGTGAATTCTAGGATTAAGATGGATCAAGTATTCATGTTCAGTCCTTTTTCTTTCCTTTTCTGATCAGTACTCATAGCGTCGTCACTTTCATCCCCGCTGACCTGTAGTCCTTGATGTCAACACCCGAAATCGAACAAACCCAAACAAATCACCCAAATAATGAGACAGATATCATGATATATCCCAAAAAGTCCCATAAGACATCATAAGACATCCAAAAAATCGAAGAACATTCATGAAAGCAGATAATATACAGTATCTGAAGTCAAAATGGTCTATTTGTTCGAACTCTCGCCCTACAAAATCAAAGCTTTTTGACCATCAGACCCAAGGATGCCCGGCACTCGGCCCTGTCGGCTGCTCAGGTAGCAGCCGCGATGCTGTGGTCTGTTCCGACGCGCCGTGGCCGGGTAGTTTGGAGACCTTCGACCGGCCGCGCAACTATGACGGCCTGGGGCAATTGGGACGTTGATGATCCAAAAATCCGACCGATATGGAGGTGTCATTGATGTTTCCTAAAAATAGAGGTACCCCTAAATCATCCACTAACACTAACTAGACCATTTTAGCATTGAAACCCATGGTTTTGGAGACCCGCCATTTTAAGAGAATCCCATAAATCATGCATAATGTATGATGTACATTTATATTAGTATATTACAGTAATCCCCAAAGAGATAGAAACACGATTTACCACTATCTTAGTGGCGAGTTTTTGATTTAGATTTGCTGGATTACGCATTCCAACAATGGATTTGCTTTGGTTGGATTATATACATAAAATTGCAACAACGAAACAACATATTGGAGCACAAGAATCTTCATGGTGGAATTGGTCGAATGACGGAACTTTAAAGTATAGAATAACACTGATATGGGACTATAGGAGGGATGATCATCAATCATGGTGGATACCATTGTGGTGGATTGATGATCACTACTCGTACAGTATATCCAACATAGTGAAGTATAATTAATGTGATATTGATACTCAAACTTGTGTGGAGGGTACCGACACTGATGGGCCGGGGCCGGATATTTTTGTTTGTGGGCTTATGACTAATTACTCATACTCGTATCTGGCGGTGAGTATTGCAGCGAAGGTAACTTACAAACGGCTGGCCATTGTCAACAGAAAACAAGCATCCGATTGTTGGGATTGTTGGGGTCCACTATTTCTGGAGACAAACCTCAACAAAGAGTGGATGGCACAATGCTAACGGTTTCGGCCGAAACTCCACCTCCACATTTGGCGAAACTTCACTGCTTGTCTTCAGCCATTGCTTGTCGGTGATTTTTTCGTCTCATCACTTCCCCATATATGTTGGGTCGATATCCCACACATATACATATATATATTCTGCATGGTTCCACCGAACAAAAGTTGGTAAACCAACATGGCAAGGGTATATCCAAGATGTCCAGCTTGGTCTCGAAATTACCCATTGATGCCCATCAGTCGCCCCTGCAGGCTTGAACAAGGTGCTCCCCTCAGGACTTTGATCGAATGTGATGGCGGTCAAGTCATGGGTACCCCAATGTTTGATGGTTAATACCAAACATATACTAAAACCTGTGGTCCAATAAGGGTTACATACATCTTGACTCATGCAACCAGGAAGAGACGCGTACGAACAAACGAAAAAGGCATATGAAAACACGGTAATATACACAAGAATTTTTGACGCAACCAGATGTGCCATGGGTGCCATGGGTGCCATGGGTGCCATGGTCAAGTTACATAGTTCATATGTTCATCCCACAGGGCGGCTATGGCAATCCCATAGGATTTTTCACTACTGATGGGATGACCGCAACGCAACAGGTGATGGTGGACGTGGAGGGTGTCATGGAAGAGGCAACGAAATCTGGGATGCAAAACGAGGCTTTCCTCAATGCAAACGTCCATGAACACACATATGGATACATATGGTACAAAGTGGTGCCCCCTAGTTAGCTAACTTGGTCGATAGCTGGGTTAACCAGGATTTATGGTAGTATATCTGCATCTTCATTAATCCCAAAGCGTGGGGTTTGCGAAAATGGGGATCCCAAAACTAACTCAAAAACTTCCATGTTTCATGGGATACCAATATTGGCGAGAGCGTGCCCCACTTTTGAGAAGCACCAAAACATAACCGATGTGTAAGGCCATGTAAAACCAAGTCTTGCGATCCACATGTGACCCAAATGTTCAGTATAGTTGGCCTATGGGCAGGGTTTTTTCTACATCGTTGGCAGGAATGTGGAACTGCGACTGCAACATTTGGTTGTTGGGTTCAAGAGTTGAACTGTGCCGCTGACATTCTGTTGATTCCCCTCACTGCTCAAACCATTCCGTACCAAGAAAGTCAGGAAGCAGTGAGTTTATGACACATAGTGGTACTGTGTCAAGTGTGCCCATCTCTAGAAAACACATTGCAAAATACGATCAGTGTACATCAATGTACTGTACGATATTGACCAGTGAAACTGGAAGATTCCGAGGATCAGATGCAAGATGGTGCCCCCTAAGTGAAAGTGTATAAAGTCCATAAACTGGATATATCATGATATATCTCCCATAAACCATATAGTTAACCTAGCCATAAGTCAACTTTGCAATCATAAACCAGCTATAAATCCCATTAAAAAAACCACCAATATGATTTCCGGCTTGGTATCTACCATGGGGCCAGACCTTTGCCGGTGTAGGTGATGTTAGACCCTGAACGAGGGCCAATTCTCATCGAGCGTGATGGCAGTGCGGATGCCAACGCCGGAACGCCGGGAAGGGCACGTTGATCCATGCACTGGGGGTGGCCAATGTTGATCCATACCCATATGGGGGTTTCCTAAAATGAGGGGTACCCAAAAATAGATGGTTCATTAGCGAAAATCCCATCGAAATTCATGATTTAAGGGTACCCCCATTTTAGGAAACCTCCATTTTAGGGATACTGGAAAATCTTGTAGACATGGATGATTTGGGCGAACCGCATGGTATCCCTAGTTTAGGAAGCCTCCATATGTGCAATGGTCAAAGGTTGGATAGCCTCTGTGGCTCTAGCCTTCACGCGGCGAGGCTGTTACGGGTGATGGGGGGCATGCCTAACCGATAGAGCCATGACATGTGTGCGCTGATATGTCTGCAGTTTCTGTGGAAAGCCTTGACGTTTCTGTGATGCACTTCCCCCCCTACATGCTTATTGCCTACACCTGGTACCATACAACTCAGTGACTCGCGTTCGCTGCCAACTGGAGATGCCTTTGCCGATGGTGATTTTCAACTTCTTGATTTGCCGTTGGCTTTTATCTTGATTCTTGGTGATGAGTGAGTTGACGCCCTTGAGCAATGTGCTTTTGAGCAACTGAGTTCGTGGAGCCCAGAGTCAACCAGACCTGAGATTTTGATACAGTATGGATCCTGCGGTGAGTAGGGCCTAGGCCCTTTGCTTCCAGGGGAGCTGTTATTTCTTGTGGATATTTCTGCCTGGTATGTCTTGAGCCAATGGAACACAACCACTATGGATGCTATGCCCGCGGTCTACGTGATTTTTTCGGGCTTGAAGAATTGTTATTTTCAGCTTTTTAGCTATTTGCCGCGAATAGCCACCTTGCTTTGTACACTACGCTGTGGCGTCAGTCACCTGAATTGATGCCTTTGTCTTGGCTAGTTTGAGATAGTGCCTTTGTTGCAACCCAAAGGGGCCGCTTTGCTATGAGGCTGCCAACTTGGATATGTTTGTTACTCTGTCACTATGTCTGCTGGTCCGTGACAGCTTATACACTGAGTTTCTTGTAGCTTTAGTCTTCGGCACCCGCCACCAGAGCCTGGGACCGGAGATTGTGGACATCGACTCCGCATGCACCCCGTCAAAGGTTGGATTATATCATATTATATCTATAGTGGGGAATGGTTTTCAATCCACTGACAGGGCTTTATTATACCCCGGCTATAGATTCACTGTATGTATGTATAAGGATTCGTGGGATGGATGACCATACACCATATACCATGGCACATGACCATGGCACACAGAATATAAGAAACCACATGTGTTTCTTTAGAAAACCCAAGTTTGAGACACACCGATATACCCATTTTCTAATACGGTAAAAGATTCCCTGGATCCAACGATTTTGACGATAAAGATAAAGATACTTCTCTTGGGATACAATTTGTTTGGATGGCAAAGAGCGTGTAACATATTGGAATGGTGCTTTTAAAGACATCAAATCCTGTCATCAATGGATTAGTTTTTAAGGGAACATCTTAATCGGAAACCATAGATAATCATAGGTTTTCCCAGTAAACATGCGGCTTTCCTGTACTTGTTCATGGAAAACCAATCCATTAATATACCATATAAATATATAATGGTAACCATTATACCATTAAACCAATCCATTGATGACACCTGGTTATGGTATACCGTGTCAGCCTCCAGTTGACCTGCTAAAAAATCGCCTTATTCGTTTGCCATGGAAAGGTATGGATCTACTATGGCATATTACGATCATCTACGATCTAGTGATATTTTACGTGATATTTTACATGATGTAATTACATGTATTATTCTGTAATTACATGATATGTTCACCTGTTCACCAACAATTGTAAGCAATGCTTAGAAAAACTTTTAGCAATGCAAAACATTGGAAGAGAAAAATCGGCATCCCATGGAGCTGTGTTCGCCTTGTTTTCAATAGTCCAAACTAGAAGCAGATGACAAAGCCAACCATTTCTTTCCATGGTTTGCAGCTTAAAAAATCACAAGATGCCTGAAAACTTGGAGCCTCTATACAATCCAAACCATGTTTTTTTCCTGAAACACTGAGTTTTTTTATTCCAGAGATTGGAATTGTGTCAACCATTGCTTTAAGTATTCCTGAACCATTCTGACCACGTGGTTTCCACCGCCCAAATAGCATTGTTGACTGCCTCGTTTTTATCCAGCTCAGGTCAAATGTATGCCATGTTGAACTACGCGCAAGCGGACTATTCGGGTCGCCACACCACTCGGGTGGCAGCCCTAGTCAACCAGCTCATGGGAAGCGAATGAAATAGGATGAAATAATTTCACCATTGTACTTTGGTGAAAGTCATGAAAGGTCAACATAATCATACGTTGACATGGTATGTTGCCCAAGGGTTTTGGTTAAGTTTTGATCTCTCTATATACGTAAATATATATATATATATTAGTATGAGTGTACAATTTGAGATTTGAAGCCATGAAAGTTGGGGTGTAAATCAGATCCGCAGAGGCAGATCCAATGATGAGTGGTTCTCATCCCACAGCGCCACCAGAACGCCCTTAGAGCTTGCCAAGATGAAGTAACACATGAATAGAAATGACACATGAATCTTACTTCCAGGAAAAAAAACAAAAAAAACAATTAACCGGTTCTTCTCAAAAAACTGTGTTCAACTATTAACCCGTTCTTAATCACTTATCAAGCCATTAGGATGTTGTGTTTTTTAAACGTAACAAGACGCTGGTTTTTCTCCAAAGACAACAGTCATCAACAGTCGTCATCGCTCAGATCTTACGCCCAAGCCCTCACGCCATGTGGCGCAGCGCGCAGATCGAGAAAACATGGACCTATCTGACCTCCACTGAGAGGACGGCCTGGGAGCCCAGAGCCGTGTTTTTCGAAACGCCCAAAACGTCCCAAATCCAACAAACCCAAAGAGCATGGTTTTGGATATGGATGGATCATAGAATTATTCGAATTGAAGGTGAAGTCCATCTTCCCAAAGTCATGGTAAGTGGATCTTAGTGGGCTGTTTCACTTCTGTTTCCATTTTCTTTGTTCACATCCTATGGCCATATGTGGCCTGGGTCGTCGTCCCTGAACTCCACTGCCTATCCTGAGGTATTCCTCCACATGGTGTGGAATCCTGAACTGAGGGCAGCAAACCTGGCAGAGACCAACAGATTGTTGATAAATCCATTTATCTATCTATCTATCTTTCTATCTATATATATATTGGATTATATTGGATTATATCGGCTTATATTGGCGTCCCCAAATATAGATAAATTTTGCCAAATTGATTGGTGAAGTGAAGGATCAGTTTTCCCAATCAAGTTGCAATTTTGGTGGTACCCGATTTTCGGACAAAGCCATGTGCCGGGATAACAGCCAAAGTATTCGGCAGTCAGCAGAGACGAGGCCACTATATGGTAGCTGGGATTGATGTTTGCTTGTTGTATGGAGCGAACATGTGACCTTTCAGTGACCATGGATTTGTGGCTCATGTTTATACGGATGTCTATGGTACCCTATGGATCCAAGTACCTTCTTAAGAAGTACTTGGGGTATGATTTTTGGGTTAAGTACCTTCTCAGACAGTGTTTGGATCCATAGGGGCATGATACCATATATGCAGCAGGCGGCTACTGATGAATCACAAGACATTCTGGAAGTCCAGTTTCGCGGCCAGCGATAGTCTCAGTGCGTATTTTTAGGGACTTCATCAAAATGAGGCAAGGCAAAAGTTGGGACAAGTTGGGATATTAATTCAGCTGATTTATGACAATCACGGTGCACGGTCTTAAGTTAATATGTTTATTGTTTTTTTTCTGGTTTGTGAATCAGAAAAAATGGTCAGTGTTCATCAATTTGCTACCCAAAAGTCCAGTCACTCATTATCATCATTATTTGGCATCATTTGATGCACCACTTCTGGATAATTCGCCTTCAAGGTGGCCAAGAAGAACAAGCGGACGCGGGACCCACACAGCGTGTGGAACCACTTGTGGGGAGAGTGGTTGGTTTGGTCCGAAACGGATTTGGATGCCCCAGGGGACTGGGTGTTCCCTAAGTCTTCAGACAAGCAAATTTTATTCAGAGATGACCCGCAAAGAATTGGATCTCTTTCAGATCTTTGACAAGTACCAGACATCTTCATAGAAACTCAGTGATGGTTCTTCAAAGGTATCCCAGCTTTTGAGTTCACATGGTGTGGCTCGGCACCAAATTTACACCATCCTTCAGATACCCAACCGTTGATTGGCTATACAATGCTATACAGCAATATTCTGGGTTATACCAACTGGTTTATTTGGGACCATTGTAGCCTATTTCATTGAGATACTGCAGACACCTATTGGCCAACCAGTATAGTTGGATGGCATTGTTTTTTTAAATGGCACATCTATATAGATTTATCATCACAATGACAGTGAACGTCGCAGGAAAGCTTGAAACATACTTATACAGGTTGCTGCAACTCAGGTCAATGATAGCCACAAGGTCAATTGGTCATTCGACCTCTAAATTGCCATTTATGGTTGATTTACCATGATTTACCGATTTACCCATTCAAATGTTGTTTTTCAATAGTTAGTTTACCAGAGGGTACTGTACCCAATGTCCTTCCCTTGTCACCTGCAGGAGCTGGTGAAGAACGAAGCACCGCAGCGCCCAACCGCGCTTGTGCGCCCTGCGGCTGCGGCCAAGTTGCAGGGCCCTCGGCAAAAACGATGGGATGTTGACGGAAAAATCACAAGTACGGCATGTTTGCGAAGTGGAAACCATTGTTTTTGAAGGATAATCACATGTATGGCAATTTCATGCAATGTCACCAAGGGCAAATCAAATGTTATTTCACTTGTACTGAGGAAAAAAAACATATACTGTATATACTTTGATATTAACTCGGAAAATTATGCTTTCTTTTGATTTCACTAGTATATAACTTTTTGGACTAGTGGTTCTTTTGGAAGTACCCAATTCTTTGGACGAGATTGGAGGAGAATGGATCACTTGTGGCCAGTGGTTTCCAATCCTACAATACAGATATGGGATATAATGTCCGGTATAGGTAAGGTTATAGCAACTCTTGGGAATCAGCAGTCGTTGGCGGGGATTTACTAGTTTGCTTTTAAATGCAAGAAGTGGCATGATTCTGATGATTCCAATTGACAACCTCCTATATTTGGTGCCCAAGTGGTGCAAAAAACATGGCACACCAGCCAGAGTCGCTTTCGCCTATGTCAGGCGTCTCTGGTTTTTGATCGTGACGTATGGTGAGTTTTTGAAAAACGAGTCCTAGTACAGTACCCCCCCCATATCCTGCATTGCAAGAAGCTGACGGAATATATATATATATCTATATATCATTCCCCACATACCAGCTATGGGTCTTTAGCTTTTACGTATATAGTCTATTATAATCGTGTCCTCCTTCCTCCCTCCTCCTCCCAGCCTCCTTGCCAGCCTCCTTTCCACATCGCTAGCTTGCTGGCCCTCTACAGAGCCACTCAGCTCTGCCAAGGTGTCAGACAGAACACCAAATGTCAAGCAGAGTGCCAGATCAAATGTCAGGTAGAATGTCAGAATACTTGCCTTGGCAGATAAAATGCCAGACTATGTATGTATATATATATATATATATTTATGCCAGACAAAATGTGGTGGGGATCACTCGAAGAAAGTAAGTTCTTTAGCCCTAGGGGACCATGGGTTTTGGTCATTTTACGGAGTCACAAATTCGACCCAACTGACTTGATCAATTCTGACACGCACACTCCGACAGTTTTACTCCAAATCAGGTGTGTGAATCCAAACCGTTTCTTAATGGTTAGGGCTTGATAATTCCTGCATCTGCATTTGCGCATGTGCACCGGCTTCAGAACATCGGTAACACATGTAAACACAAGACCTGCACCCAAAGCCTCAAAGCGTTGATCAAAGGAAACCAGAGGTTTGTTTCCGATGGTTATTTCTCTGCTTTTTTGGTTTTTTCAGACCAGGTCAGGATTCCCACTCAGTCTTCGACAAAGTTGAACTGGGGCTTTCAGAACGACAAAGTTTAACTTGGTCTTTGGAAGCGACATGTGTTTACTGGGCATTATCAGACCCAATGAGTACTAGTATAAATATATACCGGACTCCAGAGTTTCAAACAAATCCCACTCCAAACCCAGAGCGTGAAAAGTGCGTGAAACGACCGTGAAAAACCCGTGAAAACCAATCAAAAACTTGAGCATGGAAACCACATATTTTTATTCAGAATTTTGAGGATTGATTTACGGATTCGATTAGGCTCAGGGGAAAGGTCACCCTTTTTTGACCTTTAGTATGGCCACATGGTAGATATATGTATATTTATATATATATATTTATCAGCAGTCAATGAGTGTCTTTAAGTAAAGTCATGGCTTTACTTGGACGACAACGTTTAACTTTGTTCTTGGAAGTGGTGGGATTTCCATGGCGTCCCCGGTGGGATAGAATCGGATTGCCTTGCCATCACCCTGCCGCAGGAGGGTCTGCCTTGAGGGTACGCTCGCCATAAACATTGCACGCGATTGGGTTTGTCTGAAAAAAGGGTAGCCCTATTCCCATAGTTCAATACTGTTCAACTGGTTGGTGGTTGGAAAATAAATTTTATTTTTCCATTCAGTTGGGAATGTCATCATGCCAACTGACGAACTCCATCATTTTTCAGAGGGGTTGGTCAGCCACCAACCAGATATTAAGATCATTAACCATCAATATCCCATTTTCATATTCCCCATGGTTAAACCATGTTAAACCATGATCATCCCATGTTTATCATGATTTTCCCCGATGGCCATGGCCATAAGTTGGTTAGTCTCGCCGATTTCGCCTCAAAGGCGAGACTTCTACAAACTCCTTGGTCGAAGCGATGAGCCGCTCGTCTGAGGATACGAAAAGGCGCATCGCTGCCGTGCGATGCCAATGCACATGGTAAATGGGCTTTAAACTAACCATCATTGGGATATAATGAAGATATACAGAGGAATCATATGGGATTTAGCAGGCCATCATCGTCAAGACCCTTGGTAAAGAGATTGTTTTCATGTTATTTATATGTACATATATATATGTATATATATAAAGAGTATATGTACAATATATTTATATATATATATATGTGTATGTATAATATATTTAAATACACATGTATAATATATATAGTTCTACCAATGGATTTGGCGCCAACACGTGTTGCTGTGTTTACAGGTAGAATCTTTGCAACATCTTGCAAATTTGCTTGGGAAGCGGTGGCTTCCTGAAAAGTGTGTGATAGACTGAGGGAACGAAAAGTGAACTTTTCAGCCAGTAATTGCATTGTGGACTAATATCACAATATTTACCCCAATTAATATCACTAATATCACGAATTACAAAGTTCATCAAACACAGGTTATTAATGCGTACTTATGTACTTGTTCTTGTTGAAACAATTTGAAATGGACTTCGATCCACGGGCAGGCGTACCGGGTAGTTTCATAAAGTTTGCAACACCCACAAATTGCATCAAATTGCAAAATGCTTTGCAAAGCACTTATTCGAATTGGATAATGGGGTTGCATTACTGCATATTGTTTTCTTATGTATATGTATACTACTAATTCAATTTGTTATGTGCTGCCGTTCACTTTATATGTTAACGTATTGTCTTGGGATTTATATGTCTTTTTAATGTTGGATGTGTTGTGTTTTCATGTTACTTTGATATCATAGCAAAATTGCATATTATGTATGTATGTATGTAATGCAATGTAATGCAATGTAATGATGTAATGTAATATAATGTGATGTAATGTAATGTAATGTATGTATGTACTGTAATGTAATGTAATGTTAATGTTAATGTTAATGTTAATGCTAATGTTAATGTTAATGTTAATGTTAATGTTAATGTAATACATACATACATACATACATACATACATACATACATACATACATACATACATACATACATACATACATACATATACATTTACATTTACATATACATATACATATACATATACATATATACATATACATATACATATACATATACACATACACATACATATACATATACATATACATATATATGTATATACATATATGTATATATACATACACATTTCATATTATATTTATATATGTTGTAATAATCAAATTATACATCGAAAAGTTCGATGTGTTCACCTCATAAATCAGATACTTGTTGTTTTTCTGTATACGTTGTTTGTGGTTATTTACAGTTACTATATGTCATTTAGACACATTATCTGGTATTTTCTCACATTTACATCTATATGCCGTGTTTGTTTGCCTTTGTTTTGAATTCTACATGTTTCTTGAATACACATATGCACATTGCATTCTTGATTTGTTTTTCTTACGCCCATACATTATTTTTGTATGGTCACACATGCGTGTGTGTATGTATTTTTCCAATATGCATGATACGGTGTCAATATAACATGCGGTATAAGTGTTTACCCATGCGCGAGAGAGAGAGAGAGACAGAGAAAGAGAAAGAAAAAGAGAAAGAACAAGAAAAAAAAAAGAGGGAGACACGAGAGACACAACCCATACCTTGCAGCCACAGTGCTTAAGAACTTAAGAGTTTTTCAGATTCTTCCATTATGGCCCCTTGTGGTTTCCTTGATTTCCAGAAAGGATTCAATTTGAATTCATCTCAGAGGCAGTGTCAAAATCAGCCAACTTCCTAAGAAGGTGTGTCACAGGGCCTTCGCTTGAACTTGGAGTTCGGAATCCCCCAGTCGCTGGGGGTCACCCGCACGGGGCGCACGTGTGGTAGCTGCGGACATCATGGGGGCAAGCCAATCACAGGACTGCCGGGTGACCCTTTCAGGATTGGATAACGCCAGTGAGGCACATGTTTGATTCTGAGGAACAAAGACATCAACAAACATAGAATGAGTGGCTGGCAGGTATGGGGAGGTTTGAATATTGATTAAGACATAGCCATGATAAAATAAACCATCCAATTTGCATGCTGAATGCTACAAATGGCCAGACAATCTGAGCAATGCATCCTTGAAATTTGAGATGGAACCGAACATGATAATTTTCCATTCATCCTTCAAATCCAGTTTAAGTTTGATGTAAGTTTTCAGGCGGACATTTGTTTGGATTTGTTTGTCAAAGCGTTGTTTGTACCCACCATAAATGGGGTCATGTCCCTGCTCTTGTTGGTTTTATCCCCGCGCTTGCGCTGGTCATCAATCCCCTGTTTCTCACATGCAGTATGGATGTTTCCGGATGTATATTCCATGACTTCCAAACATGAGGTTTTGTCCCAACAAATTGGTTATCAGTTATCATCATTCCTGTATGTTTCCCTTTTGGCAATTTACCATTGCTATGGAAAATCCCTATGTTTATATTATGATAAGTATTGATAACTAAAGCATAGCACATTTAGTGGGCCCTTTGTTTTTCTCCATGCAAACTGTTGAATTGCCGGAGGGCCTATCCCATTACCCATTAAATACCAATGGAGGTCCGCAGGCATTGGAACCTCGCCTCCCAACATGGAACCAGCGTTCGAACATATCAACCATGAAGGGATTCAGCCAATGATGTTTAGCTGGTTACATTACTCATAATCATTGCTATTAGGTAGCATTCCATTTATATAATTTTATATAAAGTAGTTCGGTATCGGATGGTATCGGCATTGGTGAGTTATATTGATATTATATTGATATTAGATATTGATATAATTAGGTATTGGAATATCAGATAGCTGATATATGCTGATTTATTAGATATTAGAATATATTAGATATAGATATTGATAATGTCAACCACGGATTAATAAACCATGGTGTATTAATTAGGGGGGGTACTCCTCCAATAGTCATAATCTAATACTTACATGGTACCCTCCCAATTCAACAACCTGGAGGTTTATTAATCCAGGGTTGACATTATCAATATCTATATCTAATATATTCTAATATCTAATATATCAGCTATCTGATATTCCAATCAATACCTAAGTATATCAATATCTAACATCCAGATACTAGTTCGCATTCCATTGATATCAGTGACCTCAGGAGGCTGACGGAGCTGGAGGCAGGTGGCTTAGGAGAGGATGAAATGGGGACTTCACCCGCCGAAATGATGGGGACTTCAACCAACCGCAATGATGGTGTTTTGACATGACTTTCGCAGTTAAAAATTAGGCGAAATTAAGCGAACACAGGGAGATTGAAAGTTTGATCATTAAAGATTTCAGCAACGAATAGTGGACAGGATGGACATGAGAGTCCAAAAATATGGGGTTTGGTATTGTTTATCTGGTTGTGTATGGCAAATTTGATTTAAATAGGGAACCAAATTTTGGAGATTTGGAGACGTACTGTGTAGTTTCCTTTTATCCTTGTTGGTCTCAACTTGGCAGCCATTTGAAGTCTTGGGACTATACAGTCGCGGAATCCTGTAGCAGCGTGTGCCCCACACCTTCAGCAGTCACCACTTTCTCACCAGGTACCAGTCCAACCAAAAGTCCAACTAAAGCAGCTGCGGCTCCTACTGGAGGTGTGATCCGGATGGTTCGGTTTACCTGGGGTTTTGTTGGTTTACTGTATCTATGATATTCTGCTTACTCTCTGTGTGCTTTCTGGCCAAGAAAATGCTGTGCTATGTTTGTTCATAATCATCATTATTCTGGTCTTTGCTGGTGAATATCTCATGTTTGTTGACTGGGAAGCGTGTTCCCCTGAAATGCGTTCAAAACATTCCAAATAAGATAGAAAAATACATCTCTGCTATTCTCATGTTGATTCATATGTCTCTGTTGAGGATCACTTGTATTGTTGGTGGGTTAGGTTTATAAATATAAGATAAATGTATGTATATATATAACATATAACATATACAATACATATATATATATACAATACTAAATGTCAAATTTTGTTTTTATACATATATATATATATACATACATACATATATATATATACAGTACATATGATTTAATGTTTGTTGTTATATGCTCAAAACACATATGCAGTTTCTTGATCCATTGGGGGAAAGATCTTTGGGTAGCTCACGGGGATCCATTGATCGTGATACGACCGGTGACTGGATCCTTATTTTGAGTATATGATGCATATGACCAGTACCTCAATTGTGATCATTAGACACCATATGAACCCATATGATATAACTAATCCAAAGTCTAAAGTATATGTAATTCGTTTATTTTGATTATCAATGCCCTCCGGTAATCACTCACACGCCTTGCTGAAAAATCATGAAAAATCCACTATGATTTTCCTAATAACATCTCCATTTTCTATGGGGTTCTCCAGCCAGCCACGTTTGATGACACCAGAGGCTCAACCACCATTATATCCCCATTACATCCCTGTTCTATCCCATTGTATTAAATCACCATGAAGTCACCATTTGGCGTGGTTAAATTCCATTAAGACGCCATCAGAATCATTATACAATTACATGCCTGTTTGTCAGTGGTTTCCCATCACCTTTTGGTCACCAGTAATTCAGCAAACAAAACTATAAATAGCAATGAATCATGCTCGAATCACCATTAAAATCACCATTCAAATTCAAATCACGGTGATATCCCATTAAAGCAGCATTGAAACACCATTGATCATCACAACAACCGTTCGGCTATTTTATATGCCATTTCCATTCTATGCCGTTATATTCCGATTAATTAACTCTGAAAGCCCATCAAGTCACCATTAGATCACCGTTTTCATGGTAAAATCATGCTAAATCATGTTAAATCATCACCGTTTTCTTCCCATTAAATCCCATTAAATCCCATGGAAAATCCCTCTAAAATGCCCCAAACAAGCAGCAGGCAGCAAGATGAATTCCGACGCGGCCGCCTTCCTGCCGGCCGCCTCGGCGGCCACGGTGCCCACCGCGATGGGAGGCCAGGAAAACCAGTTGATAGATGGATTATCCATGGATTATCCCATTGTTTATGGTTAATCAACATGGATAGGATGGGATAATCCATCTTAACCATCCATGATTTCAAAGGCTTCAACATGGTGTGTTCACGCATCCAAAACTGGTGGTGCAGGAGTTCGCAACCATCCACAGTATCTTTTTGGGGCTTGCTACAAGTGAAACACATCAATTAAAATCATACTCTTTTGATCTAAAAATAGACTACTAAGGCGTGATTTGAAGGCCCCTTTAACTACTAAGAGCAGATTCTGTTATGGACGCTGAGTTTAATTGGTGTTGAGGTGAGCGGAGGGTTCTGCCTTGGTCAGGTGGCGAGAAAGCAAAGAAAGAGGCGCCCACAGGCGACCGGCAAAAATGTCACAGACCCCAACATCAGAAGGGTTCAAACAGGTCATCTTTCAATCCGTGAGGTATGTTGACATACGCAAAAATGGATCAAGTTGTATTTGATTATCATTTGTACATCAATGTACAGTATACATATAGTATATATACATATATACACATTGTCTTACAGTATTTATATATGATATATTGTTCCTGATTCTTGGGTAGCATGTGCCACATAATCATTAGTCTTCGAATTTGATGTCGCCCAAGGACAAAATGGTCACCCCTGTTGGTTGTTTTCCCCCAAAGGAGACCCCTGATTGGTCAGAGACCCACGGTACCCATTGGCAGCCGCTGGCAGCCAGACCAAACCCCTATGTCTTGGTTATATCTTGTATATTATATACATAATATGATATGTATTTATATATATATATTATAACAATGGTCAATAGTGGTATATATGTATATAGTAATACCACTATTGATATATATATATATATTATAACTGAGTTACAACAATGGTCAATAGTGGTCATTGACCACTGACGGACTGGGGTGAGCATCCTAGTCGGCCATGGACATCTCAAAATGTTCAGCCGTGCTTTCTGATCCTCGGACAGGCTCTCAAATTTGTGTGCGAAACTTGTCGAAGGTGATGCCTTGCTGAGGGGGATGTTGGCGCCAGGGATGATGGGACATATTGGACCCACATCACCAACTTTGGAGCTTTCAGAAGTCCCACAATGTAACCATGGGTAGTTGAGGGTGGATCGTGCATATTTTGGATTCAACTTGCCGACTGGAAGAATTCCAGGATGAGGGATTCCGGGTAACAAAACCGCAGATTGTCAGACCTGGGACAGGTTTAAGCGAAACTCTGAGGTGAACAATATGACATTAATAAGACGCATTTTGAAGGAGCCGGGCAAACGCTCCAACTTTTTTGGTTAATGTTGACAACATTGTCACCAGTTATAACCGTCATCAAACATGCATATGAACATGGCATCAGAATGAACTTCATGTTCATTCACATCGGATGTCATCGTCACCATCTTCATGTTTCCTCATTTACTAAAACTTGTTTCTTCATTTTTCTATATGTACTGTAAATATGGGTTTTGTTCCACAAAACCTTGGTACCCTGGACATCAAAATCGCCATATTCATCCCGTCGCCAGGACGCCAAAGAGGAAGATCTCCGCAAAGAATTCGAAGGCCGGGGGATTTGGGGAGCATGTGGGGCAACCCCCAAATAAAGTTGGAAAAAGTATACGAAGCCTATTGAAAAAATCATGCGTTCACAATTCTTCTGTTTTGGGATGACTATAATTACTACTATATATTATGAATATTCATAAATACAAATATGCATATAATCATATTCTGGTTGGTGGTTTGGAACATTTTTTATGGTTCCATATTTTGGGAATGTCATCATCCCAACTGACTTTGATATTTTTCAGAGGGGTAGGTATACCACCAACCAGTATTACATGTGACCCATTTTTCATTTGTTATGATATTAAACATACAGGGTTGGGGGTTGGGTTGGTCCCCAATTTTGACCGGTTGCGGTTTCTTCCAGTTGCCTGGTTCCACCAGAACTGGGGAATCGCTGGGTAGGACCAAGTCCATCGAAACATGAAGTTGTTTGAGGGTGTCTGGAGGTTTCCATAATTGTTGGTGCTTTGGAACATATTTTTTTTCCATATAATTATTGGGAATAATAATCGCAACTGACGAACTCATAATGTTCAGAGGGGTTGAAACCACCAATCAGATAAATGCTGGTACCATTTGGTACCCCAATAGCTGTTTATTGCATGGAAAATCCATGTATAAATAGATGACTTAGGGGTACCCCTATTTCAGGAAACCTCCGTCTGAGGTGATTTTTGTTTGTCTCTGAGGTCACGTTGCCGTTTTTTGGGCCCAGGCTTTGGCAAAATCACCGACGTCTCATTGAAAACCCTGAAGTTCCTTGGCTCTTTGGCAGTTTCGAGCTACTGGAAAACCAAGGAGGTTGAGCAAGAACTTGAAATGGTTTGAAGCTGTAAAACCATGAATATCATTGAATATCCATAAATCATAATCTGGAAATTCTAGCGTCAGACAGAACAATTTCTAGCCGTATTGAACTTGCGGTATGTCCTTGAGGAGATAGGCCGTGGCGGGATGCCCCACATGGCTGGAATGTTGCTTGAGAGGCCCCTCACTGTTGGATGCGGAGTCCCCGCTTTGCAGAAATGGATGCTGTGGAGAGAATTGTTGACCGGAATGCCGAAATGCCGAAATATGCCGAAATGCCGAAACACATCGAAACACGCCCCAGAAACACCTACCGATCATTCCTTCACTGCGTAGGGATATCCACACGTTGATTGAGGATGATTCGAAGTGCATCATATCCTACCGTGATCATTTCCCAGCCATGTTTGATTACCGGAGGGCATCTGATTCCATATAAATCTCCCAGGAACGGCCAAGGGAAAGGATATGGCTTCATCACCTTCGAAAAGCAGGAGGAGGCGAGAAAACTCAGATGCAGCATCAACCACTTGTAGTGGCTGGTGCTTAGAGAGATGCGGGATATGTATATGATCGTATATGTGTATGTATAAAAGGTATGTGTATATATAATATATACACATTTATACCCATGCAGAAAAGAAAGAAACTTAAAAGATATACACTATATTATGTATATATATAATTTACAATATATATATATACATATGTGACTGTGCAGCTACCAATCATGTTCTGTTTATAAAAAGGCAAGTAGGAACAACCCTGACACAAGTTCAGGCTATCCGCGACATACACGTTCCAGTTGCCATCTACATGGCCTCTACCATGGGCAGCCATAGGTGTCCAAATGTTAAGGGGCCTTCTGTCCAGCAACATGGTGAAACATGACATAACCGTCCAACAAACACGGGGATGAATGGTTGATTTATGACGGGTAAGTTGGTAAACACAACTCTACCAGCCAACTTATAACTGTTGGTGCGCTTCCTGTGTGCGCTTCCATTGAATAAGTGGGTATATAAACGGCCATGATTATAGGGGGTCTATCCCAACTGACAGGGTTATATACCCAAGCTGCATCGCCAAGCAGAAGTCTTGTGATTTTGTGCTGGATTATGTTCTCATTGTGTGGATCATGTCCCCTTCGTTACAGCATATCATATCACATCACATCGTCACATCTCCATTTTTGAAGATGTCTTCCCCATGTTTTGCTGGTAAGTTTCCCACTTCTCCTTGGTTAAACAAAACAAAGTCGGCGCTGCATTTCCCTGGCCGCAACTGTACAGCTACTGCCAGGCACAAAAAGCGATTGAGGCAGGTGGACCGGGAGAGTGTCCAATACTTTGGCCACAGATAGTTACGGCGTTACGGATACCCTTTGGCAATTTAACAGTTTTCAAACTGGAGAATCACCATTAATATGCAAATGATTGAACTAAATGGATCATATTCAAGAGCTATATTAAATTGCTAGAGGGTAAGATTTGTGATATGTCTGATTAGGAATAAACACTCGTAGGCAGTAATATGCCTAATATATCTCAACTGTTGGCCGATTCATAGAATTGTTGAGTATGGTGGTTGCTGAAGAGTGGAGAGTCAACAATTGTGGTTAGGTGATCAATAACAGAACGTTACCTCATACCTAGGACCGAGGGGCTAACCAATCCAGGTTGAAATCGCATCAGGAAAGGCAGGGATATGAATTTTAATTGAGGAGATTGCAGCCAACAAGGCTGGAGAAGCACTTAGAACATAACTGGTCGTTTCACCAGAATAGCGGGAGCAGCATTCAAATACGCAAGAATAGTTGGGTTGTCTGAAAGCAGCCACAAACATTCCAAAAATGGTTGATCGTGATTTGCTTCATTGAAACGCTCTTAAATGGCGCGTCAATTCCGGATTGACAGTCGCCCACGTGGCGAAACAGGGGCTGTTCACCATGACCATGAGTGGGCAAGAAATTATTCCATAAAATGACGCAGAACAAACAAGTCACCGGCTCTGTTTTTTTTTTGGAATGACATTTACCAAAATCGATCATTTGGGTCGCTGAAATAACAGTACTGTAATATCATACAATAATCTAATATAATCTATTGATATAAATATGTATACATATAAAATCATATAAATATGTATACACATATATATGCACATATTTATACTCAGCCATGCATGGTAACCTGAGCAGCTGAATCCATTGCCATGTTCGAAGGGCGGGGAACCCTTCGGACGCCCAGGGAATGCACGAGAAGCCTCAGCCGGAGGGCAAGCCGCTGTTGGTAACCATGGCCACCCGTCAACCTGGAGAAGGGAAAGGAAAAGGAAAAGATGGAGGCTGGGGAGCTGCTGAAGCTGGAGACGGTGGGATGACATATATGACATACGTTTTTTTCAGCATTGATCCCTAACATGATGAAACAGTTGTTCTATGTTGTTCTTGTTGATACTGTACTGGCTTGTTGATACTCTACTGGTTTTGAGGATGTTGAGGGCAACATGTTCAGGACATCACATCATATCATACCCCTGCAAAAACGGCTTGAACATATATGGTTTCCAGGATGTTTTCTTTCAAACCAAGACGCCGGATATAGGATGATTGGGGACAGTTTAAGGAGCAAAGAAGATAGACTTCTAGCCAGCAAACCTGTGAATTTGACGTTCAAATCAATACGCGGTAAATGACCAACAAACAAGCAGCATACAAGCAGCAATCAGAATAGAATGCGGAAAGATAAGCCAGATCAAATGGCAGATAGAATGCCAGATATAATGCAAGATAGAATGTCAGCATAGATGCCAGATTAAATGCCAGATAGAATGCCGGAATAGATGCCAGAAAGAATGCTGGAACATATGTATGTATTTATGTGTATATATATATATGTATATGTTCCATATATAATTTCAGACAAGATGTCCGAAACTGTGTCAGAATAATTTGTCGGTGGGGTTCATTCGAAGTAAAGTAATTTAGTTCAATCATTCTTCCCATTTAAGCGCCCATTTACTTCGGGGATTTCCTAGCCACCCATGTTTCAGGACATTCTAACTTGGATTCTGACATTCAGAATGAAGTTGTGACGTACTATAGATGTAGTCAAACCAGTTTGTTGATGGTTGATACGTATCTGGTTGGTGGTTTGGAACATTTTTTATTTTTCCATATATTGGGAATAATAGCCCCATTTGACTAATATTTTTCAGAGGGGGTGAAACCACCAACCAGGTATCCACAACATTCCACAACCCTTTTTGTTGTACAAGTTTCCTCATGTGAGTAGCGAATGGCTGTCCTCAGGCGAGAAAGGCAAAGGCAAAGGCGCGTTGTTGGCGGTGATAATGTCAAGCCTCAATAAACCGCTTGGCAGATTTGCACGGTTGGCAAGAATGGGCAGATCAGAGGCACACACCAGATTGGGGAGGTCCCTGAGCACCTTGGTTTTGCAATGTTTCGCATTTTTTTTGTACACTTGGACTTGGCCATCAAGTAAATGCTCAAAATATGATTGAAAATGCAGAAAAAATATGAAACATGTCTCTCGTTCAGGACAAACAAAATCCCAAAATTGTTGATGGTCAAAGCCAAAGTCTCAAAAAAGACATCGCCCAAAAGTCGCAGAATTTTCACCCCAGTGCCCTGATGCGGTGGATTCCAAGAGTCCTGTCTTGATTCCCTTTGTTCAAGGCGGCAAAGGCAAAGGGAAAGCAAAGGGACAGCAAAATGCGGCGGCGTACCAGCAACTTGACACTGGTAAATCCCAAGTGAGAAATCGCCCAAAAATGGGTACTCGGAATCAGGAGTACATGATCATCGGGTGTCCAAAATAAAAGAATACATCAAACAGGGTAAATCATGATGACCTGACGACCTATTGTTGATTCCCACAAAGGCTTGATTGGCGATTGTTTTTTCTCTTCGAGACCATGAAATGGTGTGGTGTCTTCCCCCTTTTGTTGGTCGTGCCAAAAGTTGGACAAAAGGCGCCTCAGCTCGTGAGTAGATTGTTTGAAAAACTCAACACTGAGCCCTAAGGAATATGCTACAGTTTGTGGTTTCATCTAATTTGGACACGTTTTGTTGAAAAATCCAGTTCTTTTCCAGTTCTTCTCCCACGTGCATGGCAGCCGCAACAGCAAGGTATCCTTATGGCTACTATCCCTACTCGCAGGAACAGGTTCAGGTTCAGTTGACTTTGTTTGAGTCCATAATTTTCATCCATTCTGAGCTATTTCACCGACTTGAAATATATTGGACATGATTGAAATATGTTGCATCTCCATTGTCTACTTGAGAGCATAGTGCCACTTAGTAGATTCATGATTATACAATATTACACGATATTACATTTATCTATATATAAATATATATATACATATATTATTGTACAGTATACATGGTGTCACATGCTGCCTGTGTTCCACCACGGATAGCATCCGTCTCCGTCGTCTTGAACATCGGTGTGGCCGCACCGGACGCCATCGGACGCCAGAACGCCTGGGCGATGCATCTCCAGTACTATCAACAGGCTCTACAGGTGCCGCAGAGCGCGCCAGTGCCAGGTGGGTTCCATCAAAAATCATCAAAAGTATGGGGCAATCATTGATAAATCATGCTTGGTTGATGACTATATGGCCGGTTCGTTCTATCTCAATATATATCCCATATTACTTGGGAATTATCACAATCCATGAGCGAAATCCGTTCTCCACCAGCAAGGGACGACATTGGTGAACTGAAGACTCTCTAAGACTGCTCAGGTGAGACCTGGTGATTTCATATCGTTTGTTAAAGCACCAGCAACAATTGGGGAATTGCAAGGGAATATCATGGGAGATAGTGGCATATAACCAAAAATAACTGCGATTTAATCATGATTTAACCATCAAACATGGTGGTTGTTATTTTGGTATCGGGATATTTCAGGGGAATGGTGACAAGGGTCATATCGACCTCACCGGAATGTCACAACGGGTTGGAAAGGCGGGAATCCTCCCCAAATGGTGTT